TGCTAATGACTTGTTGGAACGTGAAATTGCAGATTTATTTTCCGTGATCACATTGAGAATAGAGAATTTGTTTCCTCTCATATAAAAAAAGCTTTGGAGAAATGCTGAAAGGGTTGAAGATGATGAAGGCAACTTGATCTTGCGGCAGCAGGGGAACAGGCGTGTGTCTGTCTGTCTGCCTGTCTGTCTGTCTGTCTGTCTGTCTAATCATGGAAAGATGGGAGAGTGCCCCAGTACTGTGCAGCTAGTCTGTCAACACAAAAACTCATGTGTGACAAACTCGGCCCTGTGGAATGCGCCTGAGCTGGCAAGTGCCCTGGCTGTCTCCCTTACTTAAAAACGAGGGTGAGGTGGATCACTCCTGTGGTCCCAGCACTTGGTAGTTAGGAGAATGAAGAATCCAAGGTCATCCTTGGCTACATGGTGAGTTGGAGGCCAGCCTGGGCTACATACAGACTCTGTATCAAGAAACAAAAGCAGGGCTTATCTGGTAAAGTGTTTGTCTTGCAAGCAGGAAGACATAGCTTGATCCCCAGAACTCACCTGAAAAAGTTCAGAGCTGGGAGCAAGATGAATCCCCAGGACTCACTAGGCAGTCAGTCCAGCCTACGTGGGGAATTCTAGGCCAGTAAGAGACCCTGTCTCAAAAATACAGGTGTGTTGTACCTGGGGAGGTGATGGTCACGGCTCGGAGAGGGACAGTAACCCACCCCAGTCATGGAGCAGGTGTGTCTCCTGAGCCGCACCTGGCCTGGTGAGTTCTTCATTGTGTCTACTATGTTGTCCAAAACAGCTGGCGTACGAGAGCTCACAAAGGACTCCCATCACCCTTTGCTTTGTGTGTATAGATCTTCTCAGGCGTTTGGGGATGTGTGGAAAACCGTAGTTGTCCTATCCCCGCATACTTCCCCAGGTCCTGAGCAGACCTGTCCTGCATGTTATGTCTGTTTCCTTGTTTCTTGCTGCTGCGCAGTTGGGCACCCCAGATTTTCAGCTATGTACTTCCCTGTGGCTGTTTGGACCAAATTCTCCCGATATGGTTACATCAGTGCTTTGTGTCCAGTGAGAAGTGTTGGGTTTTTCCAGTGTTGTAGAAGGATGATGACTCTCAGGGTAAAGATATCAACAAGGGCAGAATCTCTGACCCCCAAACCCAGAAGCTGGCATGGGAAGGTTGGATGATACGCAGAAATTTTTGACAGAAAGTACTGTGTCCTGTGACCAAGTTAAGTCACAGAAGCCCAGGGACACACAAGACAAGGAAAGCTTCCTGGAGAAGGTAATTCCTAAGCCAAACCCCAAAGAATGTCCAGGGGCTTTGGAAGCTGGTTAAATGGGAGTTGTAGATCTCAACTCAGTGAAGAAGCTTAAGATGGAAGGGCACCGGGACTGAACAATGCCTTGGGACAGCAGGGTTGAACTCATAGCCCTGCTGTACAGACACACAAACCGGGGTCCCTGGAGGGCTCTGTTCTGCTATGAGCCTGGTTCGTTATGTTGTCCGCTGGGGCCTTGACAAGAGCTAATGGCATTGTCTCGGGTCACTGCTCTTCAGGCATCTATGAGAATGGCTGCGTCTTAACATAAGGGCTATGGGGACTGATGCTGCCCCCTTCCCTGAATTCAGAAAGTAGGAACCCCCTGCACTGGCAGGGCAGGCATCTGCGATCCGTGTAGCCACACAGCCTGCCAAGCTGATTGCCTGCACTCTGGAGATCTGGGCTGACTTCACCACTGGCCTAGTGTGCCATAGGCTCTGAGGGAATGGGGCCTGAGGACTCTGGCAAGGATGCTGGGGGCCAAGGACGTCAAACACACTTAGTAAGAGCTACCCTCTCAACCTGGACCTTCCCCAGTCTGCATCTTAGCCCCAGCAATCAATCACAAGCTGTGTGGCTTGGGCAGCCACCACTCAGGCCTCCCGTAGATGACAAGAGGGTCCCACAAGTCATGGTGATGCGTGCCTGTCTGCGACCTCTCTTCAGGAGACTGAGAAAGGAAGATTTCGAGTTCATGACCAGCCTAAAACCAGTCTTGACTACATAAGAAGACCTTGTACTTAAAAAAGATATAATCTGCCTCCCAAATGGTTCCCATATGGAGGGATTTTGCACGAGACACAGACATGGAAGACCTTCCTTCAGTGTTCAACACATCCTAAGCTCCCGAGAAGCAGGAGCAGTACGCAGGGTTTTATTTTAACCCAGCAGAAGTCTTCTCAGCCTCCAGATTTGGAGGCCGCTCCCTCCATTAACACATTTAAAAAGCAGTTGGTGCTGGACATGAAGAGACGGGGAGGCAATGCTGCAGAATGTCCCCACATGTCCCCACGCCTTGCAGGCATGGTCAGGAGTGACTCAGGGAGACAAGTTATTTCTGTTTACCCTTTGTCTTCTCCATGCTGCTTGTTCAGATGGGGAGACGCTGCCTGATTCTTACCTGTGATGAGCTGAGCCGTGCCCCCTCAGGCTCTCAGATGCTACCCATGCAGCCACGCAGGGCAGGGTGGAGGAAGGATGTTGCCCAACTCTGCAGAGCATCAGCAGCTCCATCTGGGAGAGTCAGATGTGACTGAGTCAGAATTTCAATCTTGCCACAGCCTAGGAAATGGGACCTGGTTTTCCCTAGCTCCTCTATCTCTGGACGTCAGTTTTGTCCAAGGGAGGAGTGATGCCTGCCCTATTGGCTTGTCATGGAGATTTAATTATATCTAACCTTAGCAAGTGTTTGGCCTTGTGTTTAGGGTACAGAAGCATCAGGAGTTTTCAGCCATTCTTTGCTATTATAGTTATGCTTTTTAATTTTTAAAGATTTCTTTTATTCTTAATTGTGTGTGTGTGTGTGTGTGTGTGTGTGTAGAGTATATGGTGTATGCGCACATGTGTGTGTATACATGATGTATGTGTGTGGTATGTATTATGTGTGTAGTGTGTGAATGTATATTTTGTGGTATATGACGTGTTGTATGTGGTGTGTGTGGTATGTATGGTGTGTGTGTGTGTGTGTGTGTGTGTTTCCAGATGCTAATGGATTTTGGGATGGCGTCGCTGGGAGTTGGAGGAGATGATCTTAAACTGCGATCTCCAGGATGAGGGGGCGCATGGAGCAGTGAAAGCCATGAGAATGAGTTCAAAGGCCCCGGGAGAATGGTGCGCTGGTCCTGGTGGTGTGGGAACCAGAAACGGCACTGCGAGAACTTCCGAGTGACGGCAGGCACATTGAGCATGGTGAGGGAGACTGGAAAGACTGAAGGAGTTTATCTCTAGGACTCCAGCAGCTCAGACCCGAGAGGAGATCATCTATCTGCGGCCATGCCAGGCTGCAGTACGTGTGCATCTCATGTGTGCATAGCGTCATCCCAACTCTTGGAAAGCAGGAGGATTGTGAGTTCCAGGCCAGCCTGAGCTTCATAGCGAGACCCTGCCTCAAGATGACAAATTAAGATGCCCATAGCCGGCTGTAGGCATGTGCGTGCCCCTCCCCCACCAAGGCCCTTTCTCGGCCCTCGTTCCCTTCAAAGCAGCTACAGCAACCAGAACAATCCAGCTTACATAGTTTTCTTCACATCACTCATGTACTTTGCTTTGCTTTTGTCGAGAAAGGGTCTAACTCTGTAACCCAGGCTGAACTCAAGTTCACCATCCTCCTGCCTCAGCCTTCTGACTGTGCACCACTATACCTGATGCTATTTGTCTCTTTTCATTTCATCTCATCTATGGGGACATAAGGTCTGTGCATGGGGAAGGCTATGGGCAGCCCAGGTCCCTGCTGATTCTCACTGTGTAACCTTGGTCTTGGCACATACTGGATGTCCATCATTCCTGCTGGTGTTTAGCCCACAGTCACCTACACACGTGGCTTCAGCTGCTTGCCCAGTGTTCTGTTCCACTCATATAATAAGGCCCAGTGGCTTCTTGATGCTTCCCTGGGGATTAGAGATGCCTGCAGTGAGTCTTCCCAGAGAGCTGCACATCTCTCCTCCCGGGGAGAAGAGCTGCAGTGCGAGGGCAAAGGGACCAGGACTGGTCCCTGGTGTAGGAACAAATGAAAGGCATGAGTATTATGGAAATGGAGAGGTAGGTAGCCTTCTGGGGAGACCCAATGTCAACTGACTGGGGGGAAGAGTTAATAGTCACTCCCAGCCCAACTAACTGGGCTCTGTTGCTAAGCAACTGCCTCCCAGAGTTATATAATATGAAAGAGAAATACTATTTTTTTCCTAAATGGAACAGGGTTTCCTCAGTAATGGAGGCAGTTCCACCTTGATGTTTCCCATCTCCGGTGAACCTGGTGACTTAGATGTGACCACGGCCTTGGGGTAGTCTTGAAGCTTCTCTGACCCCGTTTAAAAATGAGCTAGTTCAAAGAAAGGAACAAATGAGACCACTGGGCTTCTCCCTCATACACGCGGAATTCCCATGCAACTCCTGGCTCCGTCTCCTTTTGTGGATTTCCAAGAGGACTCGGATGACACCATTTTGATCCAGCCTAGAACTGGGTGTGTGGCCAGGCTTGAGTAGTTCCTGCCACTGATTGTGTCCTAGCTCCTGACTCCAAGATATGTCCTGAGCAGAGATGAGGCTGCTTAGCCTCTAAGGCATAGTGTTCGAGAAGATGGTTTGAACCACACAGGACTCAGTTCACTCTGAACCTCCCTGTTCTCCTCTGCGAAATGATTTGTATTGGTAGTGGTACCCGTTCTGATCAAACCAGCCTAAAAAGTTTTCAAGGCTAAAGTCAAAAATCTAGTGGACCGGAAATTGAAACTGCTCCAGAAATCCTGGGAATGTCCAGGGTTGTGGAGACGGGACCAAGGCTGGCGATCCAGAAGACAATCCCTGTGGATCTCTGAGATGGGCAGGACAAGCAGAAGTGTGTGGTGGAGAGAGATGACAGCAAGAATATAAAATGGAAACAAGATTTAGCTGGACTCGTCTGGCTGCTGTAACAGAGTATCAGAGACTGGGTAATCTGTAAACAATAGAAATGTATTTCTCACAGCTGGACTGGCAGGGCACTGGGCAAATTTGCTCTCTGCTGAGAGCGGCTTTCTCCTTCTGAGGTGTCATGTTACTGCTGTGTCCTCTGGAAGGACAAGCTCTCTGACATGACAGAAGCCAGGAGGACAGAGAGGGTCGCAGTCCCATTTTAATTACCCTGGCGTAACCCACCACTTCATACATAGTACCTACCCACTGGGCCTTGAGTTTGACTTTTGAACAAATGTTTAAATCATAGTAAGAAGCAACTACAGGGTCAGAGCAACTTGTCACAGAGATGTGACTATGAATATTCATGACAGGCACATCTGATTTGCATACTAGGTAAATGGGAATTGATTTATAGAAAGCCCTCCCACCAGAGTCCTTTAATTTAGTCATTCTTGAGTCCATAAAGAGCTGGAGATGCTTTAAAATGTACAGGTGGCCAGATAGCGCTAACCAGGGAAGTTAGAGCCCCCACAGTGGATTCTCGGGCTTTAATTTCTCAGGTGACTCCATCAAGCATGCCGCCACATGCTGGCCTATAGGAAGGGTTGTGCCCTCCTCATCATGATCTTCAGTGAAGTGACTTGTCCAAAGCCCCACGGCTGCAGTGCAGGAGCCTCCAGAATCCCACTCTCAAGTGTTCCAGGATTCTGTTTCTCCGGGCACAATAGAAGTGTGAGCTGGGGCACCCTGATTCCCTTTCCCCACGCAATTCCAGAACCTTGCTTTGTGGCTAAGCAAAGATCCCATTTACAGGTCATGTTGTCGGTGTCACAGTGACTGCCCTGCTAGGAAGGTGAACTAGAACTGTAGCATCAGCAAGGTGGCCAAGCTGGCAGTGTACCGCTCTGCCATGCCAGCGTAGACAGTCCTGAACCGATAAGGCAGCTCCAAGTCATCAGGACCCAGGCTCCTTCCAACTCAAAGATCCAACCTCCCCAACTTCTTCCTTTCATCATCTAAGATGGGTGCTCTAGATCTTGTCCTCGCATGCACCTTCGAGTCTCGAAAAGAGGAGAAGAGGAAGCAGTGGACACTTCCTCTCCTGAGGACATCCAATAAAAGCTAAAACTTCTACTTCCTCTTGCTTCCCACTGAACAGAGACACTTGGCCATAGCCAACTTTAAGAGCGTCACAGAATTCTACAACACTCATGTCACTCCACGGGTGGAGACCTGTGCTGAGACGTGTGTGTCAGCAGCGTGCATGTTCACCCATGGAAGTAGCCTGGCACAGCTCTGTTGCTGACTGGAACATTGCTGCGTGGTGCATGGCTGGACAGTCTCAGTGACTGTGTCTTAAGTCAAGAAGGGGAGACTTCTTCTAAGGGAGGGGGGCTAGCAATCCGCTGGGCGGGGCCTGTAACAGCCTCAGCTTCTCCCGTCCTTGGAGTTTTCTCAAGTGCTTGGAGGAGGTGATGGCCCCTCAGGGATGTCGGGAATAACCAGTTCTGGACAGATCTGTGAGAGAAGGTTCTTCTGTCATGGAAAGGACACAGCAAAGCCTGGATCAGGCCACCTACAGCTTAGCCTTGGAGAAAACCAACCCACTGTCAACTCCAATCAATTACTGTGGCTGAGACTTCGGTCCAGGAATGGGATGAAGGCTTGTTCTCCAAAACCCATGTAACCCTGTAACTCTGCTGTGAGGACAGAGACAGGAAGATTCCTGGGCTCACTGGGTAATTAGTGTTGCAGAACTGGTGAGCTCCAGGCCCGGGGAGAGACCCTATCTCTAGGCTCATGGCCCGGACTCTAGCTGCTGTTCCTGCTCTGGGCTGTTCTCCAGTCCTGTCTGCAGAGGGGAGGGCTTGCGGCAGAGGATATCTGAGGCAGATTTACTTACCTTGCTTTCGTTCATTCGAGTGGATCCTTCAATTTGATGGCATTGGAAGCACTTTCTACACAGCGATAACTTGGGAGAGAGGAGACACAATCTTTTTAATTACATTAGTTTCCTGTGTCTGCCTGATGCCCTGGGAGAGAGGTTAATTTAATTGAGCCTCTCATATATGAAGTCCCATTACCTCCAACTGTTTTCCAAACATATTGATGTGTCAAAACTGAAGAGAAGAGGGATCCCTTGAGACAGACAGGAGCATTCAGCCCACTCAGCCCAGCTTTTCTTGGTGTCTTTGTTCTCAGTATGTGAGGACAGTTCTGAAGAAGGGGATCGCTGGTCTCACGCCTCCGTCCCCAGCTTTCAGACTTAGCCAAACAGATAAGATTGAAAGGAGGCTGCAGACATAGGACACCTTTTACAGCCAGTGAGTTCAGACCTCACGAGCATCAAGAATCCAGGATTGAGCCAACCATGCCATGAAACCACCCTTCAGATCTCATGACAGCCCTGGCAGCTTGGTCCTGTTCATTGAGTTTTATGTTAAACTTACAAATAATTGTATACATTCAAGGATCACGGTGAGGTGTGTCCACCAGGCAAGGATATTTGGTAGTCACCAGTAAAGATCATATCCACAGGAAGTAGGAAGGGGGGAGCACAGCTGCTGTCCTGCTCCCCCAATCTCCTTCTTCTTCCTGCCCCTGCCTCAAACCAGTTCTTCCTTACTTTGAGTGTTTGCCTTTAACTCCTCTCCATGATTCTATTGAAAACTATGGGAATGTGTATGTGTGTGTTACATATGTGTGGTGTGACTGTGTGTGTGTACTGCATGGATGTTGTGTGTATGCAAGTATATGGGTGGTGTGAATGGGGTGTTGGTAGTGCATGTGTATGTATGTGTGTGGTATGTCTGTGGTGTGTGTGTTTGTGTGTGCATGTGTATGTGATCTGTCTGGTGTGTGGCGGGGGGGGGGGTATGTCTCACCAGTCATAAAATAAACTCTGCAAACAGTGGAAACAACTCTGTGACAACAGAAACATGTTCCTTGTGTTCTGGAGAAGCCCAAAGTCTGAGTGTCAGATTTGGGTGCCAACACCTTAGCTTTTGGCATTTCAGCATGTGAGCTTGAGAGGAGCCAGACATGCAGAGCACGGCTGGGATGTGTGCACCTGTGTTTGTGTGTACTTACGTGTGCATGTGTGTGTTTATATGTGTGCACCACCCATCCTTCCAGTGTTCCTTGGGCCTCTGTTGTTTTTGTGGCAAGTGTCTTTCCTTCGGTCCCACAACAGGTCTGTGGCCAGGGTTTGTAGAACACTTGCGAGCAGCTCCCTTTCCAGGTCAGGTTCCCTCTGAGCAAAAACATCCGCATGTTTGACCGGTGGAGAATGGTGGTGGATGCCAAGGAAACAGTGGGGTACCTGTGTGCAACCCAGCCTTTCCCTTGAGAGGATAGCTTGGCCACTGCTCCCTGGAGCCCAAGCCTTTCCACTTGCAAGGAGCAGCTAGAGTTTCTTGTTTTAAGTAGATTTTTTTTAACGATTGCTGAAGATTATACATTTTAAAGTTATAAACCTTGGATTTGACCTCGGCATTTACAGACATTCTGTTCTCCTCCACTGCCCTCCTCTGGCCCTGACCTCCTCTTGTGGGTCACCTTCCTCTAACCAGGTGGCTCTCCCCCTCCACCACCCTTTAATGTCTCCAGTGCTCATTTACCTTCCCACCTCCTCTCTCCTTCTTCAGTCTCACAACTCCCTTTCTACTTTTGAGTCACATAGTGCACAAGCACACACATGCACATGCACACATGCATGTGCACATGCATACACACACACACCACACACAGAGTCCAGACTCAGAAAGATGAACACCACATGCTGTCTTTTTTCCCTCTTCTAAGTAGAGTCAGGTTTATGTTTTAAAGGACTTTGGCAATTGTGTTTATGTCTTAGTTAAACAGATTTTGTGTTTCCCTCCACAGGGCATACAACCTTCCCTCATGGGCCCTGTGACATCTTTGCTAGGATATAACAGGGTGCATCAGTGTACCCACAGGAACTTTCCCCACCTCCAAGCCTTTCCTCAAGCCCAGAGACTCCTCATGGATTATCTGGCCCCAGCCACCGTGGTGGCCCACCCAGCTAAACTCAAGCTTCCATGTCACCTGCAGTCCCAGTCACATCACCGCCCTCCCTGCCAAAGCCCTGCTCACACCTCAGCCAGGTCTCATTCCCAACATGCTTTTCTCTCTCCCAACTCTTCCAGCACCACACACTTTATTTCACTCTGAGCCCAATCCGTAGGCAGAGCCTGGCGGATGCTAAGTCAACACGGATGAGACTGTTTCAAATGCCTTTGGAGGAGGCAGTGAGAAACGCATTCTGGACATCAGGTTTAAAAGCAGTTTCTGCAATGGCCACACTTAAGGCTCACACAGCCACTTCGTCCCCATGAACCTCAGTTTGCCCATCTTTAAAATAGGCAACATTTGCTTTTCTGAGTGGCTGATGTTAGTTAAATGAACTAACACATCTAAAGTGTCTTCATGTTCACTCCTGACACAGAAAAGGACTTCATGAAACCGTGCTTTATTGATTTTGAGACGTAAGCCTGAGACTGGAGAGATGGGAGTGCAGGCGAAGTGCTTTTGCCAAAGGTGCAAGGACCCAAGTTCAGATCCCCAGGACCTACATAAATCTAATCCTAGCACTTCTACAGAGAGGTGGGAGGCAGGGGTATGGGCTCTCAGATGCTTGTTGCTCTGCTAACCTGGAGCACAATGCAATAATGAACATTCTCTTCTTGGTAAACATTTCCCTTTTCATCTCCCTTTTCTCTGATAAGGTTAGTGATGGAGGAGAGGGAGGGTTTAACGGCGGTGTAGGCTTAAGGGCAGCCCAACTGACCCATCCACTCCCCCACAGCAAACAGAGCTGGGCCCAGTGTGATCCAGAACATCCCCATCAGCTGTGTCATTGAGCTCATGGGCCATGGATCATTAATCATCATTAACTAACATTTAATAGAAATAGTAAAAATAATTTTCACTAGGCTGCAGTCATTTTCCTTAATTGCGATACTTAAGCAGCACCATTTAATGTGGGGTATGTGCGGCTTCTCTCTGCACCTGAGCTGTTCTCTGGGGACACCACAGCCCAGGGGTGACCTCGAAGAAGCCACCTCTGTCCTCACTTTCCCTTCTTTAGTGTTTGCTAATCGTAAGCTATTGCTGGTCTCATTGTGGTGTTTTCAGACACATTTGTAAGGCAGTGTGATTGTGCTTAACCCCGGTACCAGCATTTTTCCAGCCTTCTCCAGGGCTCTGTCTCTCCTGACACATCTCCCTATGTGTCCATGTCTTTTTGGTTACAGTTCACAATGAGAGAAACATTCCAGCTTGTCTTTCTGAGCCCAGCTTGTTTTGCTTAATGTGATGATCCATCTGTTTCCCTGACGATGCCATAATTTCACTTCTCTTTATGGTTGAACACAAGTCCCTGTGTGTATGCACCGCATCTTCTTTGTCCCTTCGTCAGATGATGGGCGTCTAGGCTTGTTCCACTCCCTGGCTCTGTGCAGGTGTCTCTGCAGCAGGCTGACTCAGAGTCCTTCAGGTGTATACCCAAGAGCAATTGGCAGGATCCAGTGGTAGATCTGTTTGCAAGGGGTGGGGGTTTGTTTTGTTGTTTGTTTGTTTGCTTGTTTCAGAGGAAACTTCAGACAAATTTCCATAGTAGCTTCGCCAGTTCACACACAGCCAGCAGTGTCGTGGCTCAGCGTCATGGCTCTCCTTGCCCTACATCCTCACCAACATTGACTGTCGTTTCTTTTCTTAGTGATTACAGCTCTGATTGAGGCACCATGCATTCCAATGCAGTTTTGATTTGCATTTTCCTGATGGGGATATGGCTCAGTGATAGTACACTAGCCTAGAATGCCTGAAGCCCTAAGTCTGATGGGAAAAGGGAAGGGCAGTAGAAGTAGAATGAGGAGAAAGAGAGGAGCAGGAGGAGGAGGGGAAGGGAGGGGAAGGAGGGGAAGGAGAGGAAGGAGGGGAAAGGGAGGGGAAGGAGGGGAAAGGGAGGAGAAGATCATGAGAAGGAGTAGGAGGAAGTAGAGGAAGAGGAGAGGAGAGGAAAGAGGAGGAGAGGAGAGGAGGGGGGAGGGGAGGGGAGAGGAGGGGAGGGGAGGGGAGAGGAGGGGAGAGGAGGGGAGGGGAGGGGAGAGGAGAAGAAGGAGGAAGAGTTCTCCATCTCTTTATAAGCAATCATTTGGTATGTCTGATCCATGTTTGGCGTCAGCTGGGGTGCTCACAAGTTCACACAAAACCATGGACTCCCAGTGGAGGAGTTTCTGGGGAAACAGTAGGGCATGGTGCAGAACAAGAAGCTGGGCACACACAGAAGGGCAGCCATTTGTTGGTCACTGTCACAGACACGGTACATGTGTCCGCTAGAGTACCCGTCACGCTGTTAGAATGTGCGTCTAACTACCATCACCCTATTTCACAGTTGAGGTTCAGAGAGGCTAAGGCATTTCCCCAAGGTCACACAGACTGTTAACCTGTAAAACCTAAACCCAGACAGCCTGTCTCCAAAGCCTGCATCCTGAGAGTCACTGTCTATCAGGGTAGCTACGTTCAATGTGTGATCAGGTTCACGGGAAGGGAAAAACTTCCCCAGGAAACGTCTTCTCACTGAGAGAAGAAAGATGCAGAACAGATAGGAGAGGTAGAAAGAAACCTCAGGCAAGCTGAGAGCATCAAGTCTACCGGCAACAGGGGCAGAGGTGGGCAGAGGTGGGCAGAGGTGGGCAGAGGTGGGCAGAGGTAGGCAGAGGTGGGCACGGGAGCCAAGTGCAGTGCACTTTCTGGATCCTCTAGCAGGGGTGGGGAGTTGACTCAGTCGATAAAATGTTTGCCTTGCAAGCACAGGAACCTGAGTTCAGTTCCGCAGAACTGAAGCCAAGCATAGTGGCACATCAAACATGACTAATTAAAAGCTGAGAGGTGATTCAGGTAGATCCTTGGGTCTCCCAGACCAATCGAGCCTATGCAGCAAACTCAAGA